AGGGCAGCTGCGCCGGCTGCTGGGCCTGTCCTCATGGGCTGCAGGGCTCGGGGCTGCGTTTCCTCCTCTCCCGCCCGGAGCCACCCTGGCGAGGCTCGAGGGACCGGTACTGCGGGCTGTGCTGGGGCCCCAGCCCCGTGTTAGAACCTGCGAGCAAATAGCCCGACAAAGCGCAGACGCAGGAGGTTAAGGCGGAAGGTCTCTGGGTGCTGAGGCCCAGGGGCCACCCCTCCCTGCATCCACGCGGAGGCCCTGAGCGCCTTCTGTGTACCAGGTCTGGGGTGTGAGAGGAGCACTGTCACCAGGGCTCTGGTGTCCGACCCCCGGGCTGCGGCCTAGATCCGAAGCTGCAGACGGAGAGCTGCGTGCTGCGTGGGCCGCAGGGTGGGGTTTTTTGTACTGTTTGCAAATTAACTTCACCGTTTAAAAGGTATGGAAGTGTGTCCATTGCTGACTCAGTCTTCCTCCACCTCTCCCCGCCACTTTAGCCATCCTGTACCCCTCCTGAGGCACCCACTGTCCAATTTCTTCTGTGTCCTTCTAGAGAATCTTCAACCATTTCCCCCCAAAAGGCCCATGTGTTTTGCATTTATCTATTTACACACACACACAGAGTTTTACCTTCTTTATGCAGTTGTTCGCATATGTTGCACAGTACAATGTATTTCTTCTACTTAATAGTACATGCTGGGCCTGTTCCGTAGCAGGTGCATAAAAAAAGCCTTTTCCTTCCCTTTTTAAAGAAATGGCTCTAAAGGATTTCATTGAGCAGACTTACCACACTTTTTTTTTTTTTTAACCAATCTATCACTGGTGGATGTCTAGGTTATTTCTAATGGTTTGTTATTGCTAGAGCGTTATGGTGAATGGCGTTGAACATAAGGCTTTGTGGCCATGGTAGGACGTCTGGAATATCTCAAAGGGGAATCACTGAGTCAAAGAGAATGTAAATTTGTAATTTTGAGAGCTGTTGCTAGGTTACCCTCCCTCAAGGTTCTACTGATTTGGACCCACCCCCCACCCCCAGCAGTAAAAGTGTCCGTTTGCCCATCCTGACCAACACAGGTGTTATTAAGCTTTTTGATTTTGGTTATCATGCTAACTAAAAACTGATACCTCTGTGTGGTTTTAGTTTTGCATAATATTTAAACATTGCATCAGTTACCAACGTTTAAAAACCGAGGGTTTGGGCTTCAAAATCTGTGCTTTTTGTCTTGGTCGTGAAGAATCTTACGGTCTGTCGTGTTAGGCTTGTGTGAGGGTGTATCTTGGTCAAGGTAGGATGGCCACTCCCTTCCCACACCTCTGGGCTCTGCAGTGTGCCCTGTCCCACTGGACCCCGTGTTTATTTTTCTTCACTTATTACTGTATGTTGCTCGCTGGGCGTCTGTAGGTCTGAGTTTCCCAGGCAGGTGAAGCGTAAGGGAGAACAGAGCTGCTTTCTCTTCTCTCTGTGAAGAGCGTGGACTTGGCTTTTGAAGGATACGTAGAAGGGGGAGAACGGCTTGCCCAAGGACATCTGATGTGAATGAGTCTTGCAGAGGGGTTGGAAGTTGGAGAGAAGTACAGCAGAGTTCACTTGCTTTGGCTGTAGTCAGTGGCTTGATAACCGAGGACCTGGGATGAAAGGTGACAGGCTTGGACTTGAGTCCACAATGATTGACTCATGGTGGGGGCAGGGTGCAGCATGAGTCACACTTTTGTGAGAGGTGTCCTGCACTCCTGAGCAGGAGGGCACCCGCAGGGAAAGACTTCCAGGGTCGGAGAACTAGGGACGGTGACAGATGCCCCCACCCGTGACTGCCCCCTTCTCCCAAGAGAGCCAGAGTCAACAGTCTGGTGTGTGTGTGTGTGTGTGTGTGTATTTGTTTCTCAGTATTATTTCCCCATTATATATTATTATGCCATTTTGATCAAAGTATGGCATAATAAATTGCATATCTTTTGCTGTAGGTTTTTTTCCCTCCCCCTTCATCACTTGGGTCTTCCCCGGTCAGTGTGCACATCAGCCTCACTCTTTGATTGTTGCAGGTCCATCGCGTGGTGGTTCCTCTCTGATGGGCATTTGTTCATTTCCAGGGTGTTGCTTTCTTGCGGCTGTGAGCATCCTTGTGTCTT